CTCTCGACGCGTGAGCAGGTGAGTGACACGCGTACTCGTGTACCACGCGACCCCGCCCGACTTGACTTGTTTGTTCGCCGAACTACTGTACAAGGAGGCACGTGGCGAAGACCAGCAAGTATAGCCAGTGAGAGCCACAGGCGGGTCATCCTCGTCCTGTTTCGTCTCAATAAAGGCGAGAAAGTCATAACGAACGCGTTTGCAACCATCCCACATACACAAATCATCCAGCAAATCACCATATGCACGGAACTTCGCCGCTAAGTCCTGGATATTCAAACACAGAAACGTGAAGGCCGGCAGCGAAGAGCTGGCCGGCGTCATGGCGATCGACGCAATGCATCCATGCATGGATGGGCGGGGCCGACGGCTGGGGCAGCCGCGTCCCACGCCAGAGGAGCGCCGTGCGCCTGCTGGGCCGCTCCTGGTGGGCACTGCCTGTCTATGAATGGGTCTGCCTCTCGCCCGCCCCCTGCCCCTGGCTCTTCCTTTCCCCCCGCGTGCTGCTAGCCAGTCAGCCATATGCAAAAATACACGGGCACACCACTTGCCCATCCCCCGCCCACCACACAACACCGCACGCAGCAGGAATGGATCAGACGCCCCGCCCACATGTAATGAACCATAGCTTGTACCTGTACGATGAGCTGATCGTGCCTCCAGCACGCATGAGGAGAGCGACCCAGGCTGCATGCCTCCCCCCTCATCGGAGGAGACGCGAGGCATGCCCCCTGGTGCCGCCATGCGCTGAAGATGCAACGAGTCAGTCCAATTTGTGCCCCTCTCCCCCCCTACATACGCATGAAACGCACCCATCCACGTCCCCTTCGACTGCCTGCCCCTCCCATCCCAGCACGCGCCATGCACACGAAACGCACCCATCCCCGTCCCCTTCGACTGACTGCCCCTCCCATCCCAGCACGCGCCATGCACACGAAACGCTGCAACCACCCACACCGCGACACAGAATACGAAAACAGAGACCCGCCCACTCAGTAGCATGGATGCTAGACGTACACGCACTGCCACATGATGAAGCTGCCAAAAGGGCAGCCAGTAGATGCGAGAGCAGTGCATGAGCCATTGAATGGCATGCAACCGATGCAAGTCACTGGGTGGGCGCCATCGCTGCCATCTGCGAGCAGGGGGGCGGGGAGGAAGGGAGTAGAGGGGATATAAGCGAGGCGGGCAGTAAAGTAGGTACAGGCACGCCCGCATAATGACGAACAGCACGGCAGAGAAAAGACTCAGTAAGAAGTATACGAGAAACAGCAGCATGGCGGCCTGTGGTGGAAAGAGGAGGGGAATAAGCAGCCAAAATACAAGGCTGCGAGTAAGCGACCACCACGGAAAGCTCGCCGAGGGACACAGCAACCAGCAAGAGCCTGATGCAACATATGCAGACCAAGAGCGCACGGAGACAACAGGGCGGAGGGGGGAGTGTTGTGTATGACCTAGCTTAAGCGCCGCGAGACAGGCAGCGAATGAGCAGAATCCCATCCAGCCAATAATACAATATAGCAACCACGCGAAAACGACCATTCCCAGCGGCTGACAATGACGAA